TTAATTTTTTCGTCCGTCATTAAAGGGTGGGCCCACGCGATTTTCGCCAGTAATGCGAATCGCGACGCGTGACGGCGATTTTGACGCTCCACAAATAAAAAGAGAAACGGAAAAAAAAAGAGAGAAAGCTAGCAAGCAGCCCAACTAAAGCAGCAGCAGGCCGGCCCAACAAAAAGCAAACGCAGCCTAGCAGTCAGCCCACATAGCAAAGCAGCAGCCCAGTACAGTACTGTGCGATACTGTAGCAAACGTGAATAAGTTCACTTTAGCTCCCTTAGTTTATCACCGAATATGAAATCCATCCCTAAATAAAAATACCAGGTAACCTCATCCTTTAACTTACAATACCATGTCAATTTCGATCCCTCAGCAGTATCGTGGCCAGTTTTAACTAACATGGCAAGTGGGCCCCACACGGGTCATATGTCAGTGCACAAATAATACCACATTTTGCCTAGCTTGGGCAGCACTAGCTTAAATAATAGAAGGCTTGCCCGAGGCTACTACACCAAAAAAAAAAAGGTTGGATCCACGTCTACCAAGAATCATATAAAAATAACGAGCAATTTTATTAATTTAAAAATAAAAAACCACATGTATTTTTTTAAAAAAAACATGTGATCACCAACAAAATGAATTATTTACGACAAAATAAATTATTTTTAGAAAATAGAAAACAATCACATGTCTTTTTTTAAAAAAAAATGTAATCACCAACAGAATGAATCGTGTTTACATCCAATTTTTTTTCTATTCATCGTATGATTTCCGTCTAATTTTTTGAGTGAAAATGATTATGCGATTGGAGTGCAATGAGGTTGATCTGATAGATAGCGAGAAACATTTCTTATATTATTGCTACTCTTTACAATATGTAAAAAAAAATGTGTTTATCAATATCAAGTACCAAAAAATAACCATGTATTGCAACCAACTCATAATAATACATGACAAAAGTAAATACTTTTTGGGTTTCAAACTTTATAGTCTATAATACATAATTTTATTTTAAAGTGGTATTAATACTTTTCCTATAATCATTCATGTCAATGGATTTAGATCAACAAATAATTATGTCATGTTAGTATCTTACTTGCACCGGAAAGATTCGATTTGCTCCTACACACCCATTACTGTTGTTTTTGGGACTATCTAGAGAACTGTCGAAAGTTTTTTAAGGAGAAAACTTTCAAATCTAACTATAATATAATTTCAATATAATTTCACTATAGCTATAATGTAACTCATATATAAGTATTAAAATAATATATATATATAATATAGTTACAGTGCAGTTACATAGTAGTTACAATGTAGTTATAACTAAAATGTAACTCACTTAATTTTTCCAAAACATGCAGCAGATCAAGTGGCTAGCACGCATGGCTTCCATGATGGGGACCCTGTGTTCGAGCCCCTGCAAGCACACGTGTACAGATTTTTTTTTTCCAAATCTCGCGCGGATCGCACGGCTAGAAAATCATCTCGCGCAGATCGTACGGCCAGAAAATCGAATCGCACAGCTAGAAAATCATCTCGCGCGGATCGTACGGCCAGAAAATCGAAAGTTTTTAGCCTCCAAAACTGTCGACAGCTAGCCAGCAAAACCGTTGTTTTTTTTTATGTTTCACCCAATGCAACGCATGGGCATTTTGCTAGTTATTATATACATGCTAACTGTGTATTTTATAGCATTTAACCCTTTATTTTACCCGTAGCGAAGCACGGGCATTTTGCTAGTAGTAGATAGAAGTAGATAGAGATAGAAAAGAGATAGAGATAAAAAAAACTAGAGATAAGATGTTTTGAAGAGGTATATCAATTTGAATAAGCCCTACGCTCCATTGATTCTGGGATGTTTAACTTTTATTTGACGTCCTAGGTCAATCGGGAGTCTCCTTTTTTTTTTTTTTGTAATGTAATTTAACGCTGTAGTTCAATCACGACCGTTGCTTTCATCTTTGCCCTCCTCCTCGCGTGCCCTCGCCGACTCGCCGTCGTATCGTATGGTTCCACCGTCACCCTCGGCCGCCCGCTCGGGCACCGCTCTCCGCCACCTTGCTTGTGGGCCCGAGAACGCCGGCAAGTCTACCTTCTCCTAGCTTTGCTCCATCAGTGAGCTTGTTCGCTGACTAGTAGTAGTGGTTGCGTTCTGGTGCGTACTGTGGCAACCGGCGAGGAGGCGAAGGGGCGAAGGATAAAAAGGAGAAGATGCTCCTGGTGCTCTGGTGCGGGTTTCTGTTCTTTGTTGTTGTTCATCAATCATCATTCAAGTTGTCAACTTCCCCAGGCCCCAAATCCTTTTGGGATGAACATGTTCTTGATTTGTGACAACAGTTCATTTTGGGACACTTGGATGACTTTGACTCCAACTGTAATTTTCACTAGTGTGAAGTCACAATCATCGCAGCCATCTGTTGTCTGATTTGTTCAATCGTTTGGGCATGATGTTAATCGACCGTGATGAAAATTATGTAAGAACAATGACGCTTTGACATTGGGCTAATTAATGTTTTTTTTTTGCCAGGTCGGCCGAAGGAATGGCGACCAAATTTCATTAAGATGGGGAAGGGGCTAATTAATGTTTATGGTTAACATATCTGCAGGTTGCACACCGTGCAGTGTAGGCTCCAGGTGTGTGCGTGAGCATGTCAGTTGGCAATCTGATTGGATGCAACTTCAAACAACCATTCATGATTAGTACAGAGTTCACTAGTTCAGTGCAATTTGCAGCTTTGAATCAGCTGCAATTTTCTGAGGAAGATGCAATTCTGCTGCTTCACCTGATTTTAAGAGAAAGGCGTCTGATGTTTTGAGGAAAGAGCAGCTTTTGACAGAATGCTTGACTCTATCTGGCTATCTGTAGCATACTGGCATGCTTGTTTTTATAGTGTTTGATCTGCAAGCTATTGCAAGCTTGCAGATCATAAACTTGCAAGCTGTGATACTCCTGTGGGATGTTTCGGAGATACTCCTGCACTGATGTTTCATAGATGTACCTCAGTTTCAGAGATGTTCCAGTTTCAAAAATTCGCACCTACTCCATATCCACGCCAACTTCCTGATGACCGCTTTACGTTGATGTGAATTGACAGAATTGTCTATAATGTGAATGTTTGCAATTTCTTGTAAAGTTAACAGCAAAACTCTTGTAAAGTTAACAAAATAAAATTAATAAAATTATGGTGCAATAAAGGAGGTTGATTTCTTCCAGGTTTCTTGTAAACTGCGAGTATTCATCCACTGCATATGCAGAGCACTGAATTCAAGTTCAGACACTCCTGTGCTAATTCAATCATATTGCAAGAATGGTGCAATTAAAAACTGCAAATCAACCATTCAATTATTCTAAATATAATAAAATCACTTATAAATATGCTCCAAATGAGTTAACATCACTTTACACATTGAAATCTATAGTCCAAATCAACTTTAAAGATTTGGGCCAGTCATCTCTTTACAGATTTTGAACTGGAAAAGAGAAATCAGCACAACTAACCACTAACCACTATGGTCTGGGAAACTATTTTAAACTCTCGAGGGGACATCCCCTTGTTGTTTGCATGTCACCCAAATAATTATGAAAAAATTTAACAAGATAGATTAATATGTGATAAATCACTCCACAAACATGCAAAGGTCAAATTTAACTTCTACAAGTTAAAAAAAACGAGAGTTTAGAATCTACTCCCACTACGGTCCTCTTCTTGGTAGCATTATCTGGCTAGAGTATTCCATGTAGACTGCCTCCACCTGTTCAGAGTTACTCCCAATTAAAAGGTACCTCTTCATGATTTAAACAAAGAAAAGAAGGACATGCCAACCTGAGAGAGATATGGCTCCCTTCTGATATTGCAATTAGGTGGTGTCCATGATGACTTGCGAAAGGAAGACATGCTTACCTGAAAAAAATAACATGTGCTAAATCTGGTTGCATCCAGGCACATGAGCGTACATTATTCTACTCCTGATTCTCTTTGCAAAGTAAAAAAAAAATCCCGCCTTTCAAATATATATATATATAAAATCTTTGCACAAGGTAAAGTGTGGAGTAACTATGCAACCTTCCTTTTCAGGCTACTGGAGAAAGAACCAGTACATAACTAATGTCCAAACTGCAAAGAAAATAATCATGTGCAGCAAATCTACTCTAGCTCATTACCTATGCAGTGCCTGAAATCTTGAGTAACAGGATTTCGGCAATACTGAATCAGAGCAGAGAAAAAACTGACACTATACACAACTACACAAGCCATGAGTTCATCATGATGTAGAGTAAGCCCTAGTAGTATACTGAATCGGAGCTTGCTGTCTTGCAGACCCAATGATCATAAAACACTCAATTATCAGAAAAGATAATGCAACTTGTATGCCTCTATTATTTACATAGGAAATGAAGCTGGGAAAGTAGAATATTTTTCATAGCAGAGACGATGGACTTCAGACATGATGCAGACACGTGAGTGTTTCCAGACAGGTGAACAGGTGTTATCTTCTAAAATGCCCAGATAGTACTCCACATTGGGCAAACTGCACAGTTTAATTTCGTGGAAATTGAACAAACTGCACAATATTTATTTACTCCTGACTTTGATTCAGAAACCTGTAGATGAACTTGCAATGCCTTGTGGAACCTCTTGATTCACATCGACCTGCATTCTTCAGAAGCACATGGACCTCTTGATTCTCTTTGCAAATTGCTAGGCACCAATACACAACAATTTACAGTATTTGCAAATTGCCCATGCATGCAAGAATGAAACAGCAACAAAAAGAAACGGATTCCTAGATATACTCCCCTCAGCTGCCATCTTGGTCTATTGCAGATAGCAATTGCAAAGTGGCCATCAGACAGTCAGGTTTGCGTTTATAGGCTGGATAAACAAGGGTGCCGAAATGCATCTAAAACAGCAAAGAACCAAGATCATGCTGTTGTCGCAGCCACAGCCGCCCAGCGCCCCTTGTTCCATTGCCTAGTACTGCCTAGTGAACAACTCTAATTAATAGACAATGTTTTGATGATTAGCCATAGTACTGCCTAGTGGCAACATGTTTAGTGAACAATTCTAATTAATTAGCTAGATACGCCTAGTGGCAATAGTTCTAGTGAATAACTCTCTAATTAACGGGATACAGACAGACATGTTCTCTAATTAACTGGAATACAGATATGCAGCATTAGACACTTCAGTAGCGCTAGCCATCTCGACATGAAGCGATACACAGTAGCGCAGCCACCAGCCATCTCTCAGTCTTCGTCTTCGTCTTTCATCTCATCTTCGCCTTCCCCTTCCCACTGCCCCTCCCCTTTTCACTCCCACTCGCCCTGCCCCTTCCCCTACCCCTGCCGCTGCCAATGCCCTTGCCCCTCTTCCTCTTTCTCTCTTCCTCTTCCTCATCACTTTCATCATAGTCACTGTCGCTGTCGTTATCGTCATTCTCCTCGTCGTCATCATCATCACCATCACCATCACCATCACCATCACCATCACCATCACCATCACCTGGCAGCTGAAAAGAAGAAAACAAACAGAACTAGGACTAACCGACTAAGTCACTAAGCAATTGAAAAGAGAAAAGGAGAAGAGTTAAAAGGAAATAAAATTGAACTTACATTTGCAAGTGCAGTATCTACAAAAGTTTTCACATCTTGATAACTGATTGCGTATCCGGCTTTACAATTCTTTTGTATACCGTGATAAACCGCAACACAACGTGCTGCCCCATTCAGAATTGCACTTCCCGATGTTCCGGCTGCACATTGAAACTCAGGCACTTCAATCAGATTCATCTTATATCCTTTCACATTCAAGCTAGTAAGTGTGTCGTATCTTCTGTTAGTATGACTAATGTGCCCCCAAACTGAAGTTTGTGATCGCAATGCTGGCCACCCTTGTAAAAAGACATTCTCAGACTCAACTGGTGGTGATTTTCCTAGCTTGATACGTGTATGGTCCTCGGGACAAATGATAAAATTATCCGCATCTTGATATGAGTAGTAGATATCCTCACGGTTCAACTTAAGAAGCATCAGATCAACTTGAGTGTTAACCGCAACTACTTTTGCATCGCAGAAGTATCTGTTCAGATGCTCACTCTTATCATCCACTCCTTGGAGAGAAAGAAGGTGCCTCTCCTGATGGATGCACAAGACTTTGAAAATAAATGATTTATTAAGATCTTTTGGGGTAAGGTCATGGTTCTTTGCATCATAGTAATCATCCAAAGCATGGGCTGTGGTTAGAAGATAAAGTATATTTCCCCTCTGCTCAATAACAAACCCAGTGCAGAGCTCAGTCGGAATAGTAGTTTCCTCTATTTCGGCTCTATCCAGATTCTTATTAATGGGGAGCCTTTTTAAGATTCTACAGAAGTGACGGAAAGCAGACTTGTTATCTTCCTCTTGATGCCTCACATTCACCTCGATGTTGAAAACAGAGTGAATAGTCTTAGAAACAAGATGATGCTTTGCTGGATGAGTGAGAAGATGCGGGGCAGGGAAGACGTTGTCGTTGTTTAAATCAGCCATCTAAAGAAGGATAGGATAGTGAGATGGATTTTCAGAAAAATCAACAAAAACTAGAAGACAAGAATGAATGAGAACACATAAAAAGCTTAAAGTAAATGAAATTGCAAACCAAAATTCAAAACAAACAAACAAACCAACCAATAGAAATCGAATAGAAAGGACAAGATGTGAACTCGAAAAAAAAGGGAAAGAAAAGAAAGGATGTGAACCCGTTAGCAACGGCAGCACGAACCGAGGCCACCCCAGCGTTGGCCGCCGCGTATCCATGCCAATCAGGCGGCATGGATCCAGGGCAGCCATCGCGTGTTGAAGCTGTCCCGGCATCGCCATGCGTCCGGCCAACCGCCGGCGGCAACGATGGGTAATAAGGCAGGAGCTCAGGGGAGCAGGAAGAAAGAAAGAAAGAAAGAGAGAAAGAAAGAGGCGGAGTGAACGGCGTGCGTGACTCGTGAGGAAGAAGAGAAGAGAAGTGTCTGTCCACGCGGCAGGGGTTGAGACGTGGCGGATGGCTTTGTGCTTACGTGGAGGTAACTTTCTTTTTCTTTTGTGATGAGATGGCCATCGGTTTTGATGGTGGGTGGGCTCGTCAAATGGGCTTCTATGCAGTCCCTATTCTAATACGAAAAGGGCCCATCTAAATGGTTTACTTTGAAGCCCAATTCGAAGAATTCACAGGCAGGCCGGTTTACATTCTACTACCCCAGTTTTGGACCTCTATATCGATCCATTCTCATTAGGTTAGGGTTTTTACGCCATTATCGGTTCTGGATCTAGATGATGTAAAAAAGAATCCATGCCCGAATCCGATGGAAGGGGAGCTAGCTGTTCAAGAGAGGAAGGACTAGACAGGAGAAAGGCGCGCAACTTAAGTTAATTAAAATGAACATACACTAGTAAGTACAAAATAAAAAAAGAAGCCAGATCTATTTTTTTGACATCTATATATCGTACAAAATAAAAAAGAAGCCAGATCTATTTTTTTGACATCTATATATCCAGATCTAGGAGACAAAAGTAATGTATACTTGAGATTAGTTGGTGGACATGCATGCATGAGATGGAATGGATTACAGTAGTAGAAAAGTAGCAGCAGCTAGCTAGCCAAGCAGGGAAAGAAAACCAAATCGGCATCACACAGGTACAGCAGAGAGAACGAAATCAAAATGCCAAAAGACAACTAACATATATATAACATATATATAGGGAGTGGATTCTAATCCCTCGAGGGGATATCCTCTCGTATAACTTTTTTCTTCCAAATTCGATGCAAATAGTTGTAAAAAAATCTGAAAAAAATTGACAATGTAGATTATAATGATACCTACTAGTCCACCAAAATTCATGTTCAAATTCGATCTACACATCGAGAAACAAAAAAGAAAAATTTAGATATAAACAGTACGCTACTATTCATACGCTGAATTTGTCTTTTTTATATCTCGACGTGTGAGTTGAGTTTGGACTTAAGATTTTGTGAAGTTGTATATATGTGTTGTATGAATGTTGTCAAATTTTTCCAGAATTTTTCATAACCATTTAGATGGTTTTTGAGCAAACGAGGGAACATCCCCTCGAGGGATTAGAATAGTTTCCCATATATATACGATTGTTCTACGAGGGAAGAAGAGGGACTTACCGTTGCAACTTGTGCGGCACAGATCGACGAACTGCGTGTGTGCGCTTGCGCTCTCCAGTCCACAACCTCGATCGCCGGCAAAGCAAACTGTAGATCGAGGCAGATCGATCGACGGACTGCGTGTGTGCGCTTGCGCTATCTCCAGTCCACAACCTCGCCGGAAAAGCAAACTGTAGATCGCGATGAATGGACAAGCAAAACTTTTTCAAGATGTGTTCTTGGCTTCTTGCAAGAATATATATATATATAGTAGATCTACCAACTGATGAAAGAAATGATAGATGATGCATGCATACCGTCTGTTTTGCTTGCAACCTCTCACGAGCGGAGAGAAGACCCGGACATCTCTGCAACCTCTCACCCGCGGCCAGCTCCTCCAGTAGTGATGAGATGAGACATGAGAGAGCTCGCCATGGACCGGAGGTGGAGAACACTGGTTGTTGGGGGACTCAAGAACACAGGTTGCTACTTGCTAGGGAGCATTCAGTCCGGCCATCGCTAGCTGATGTTAATGCCAAGGAGCTGCCTCTAGCCATGCAGACTAGACTTACCTGAAGATGGAAACTGCACCACTGCCCAAAGGCTGTAGAGAAAAAAGATATGGACCAAAGAATACTAAGAATAGTACTGTGCAGAACTGCAGCAGTTGCCTTCAATACAGCTCTCCCTGCAACACGACATATACGCAGCAGCCTTCAACTCTCTCCCCACAACTTCGGCGAGGATAACCGGGTATGTAAATATGGTGTAAACCTTGACTCTACATTCAAAAAACAAAATTAATTCAAACATGTGGACGAGATGATATTACACAACTATATATAAACATGCATTATCTTGTCCAAACTCGGCTTCTTTTGTGAGATAAAAAATAAAGAAATTTAAACCAAGCTGATACGATCCATCTAGTGAAACAAAGCTTCCGTTTCTCATGTCTGCGTCATTCCCACCCCAGGGACGACTCGAAAGGCAAAAATATGCCACCGTTGCCTCCCTCCCTCTTCCTCCTCTTCACCTCGTCCCTGCCCAAGCGGCTCGTCAACAAAGCCGGACAACCACAAGGATAGTAGCGGCGGACGCTTTCTCCCCATGGAAACCTCAACGGCTGGGGTACCATGGCCCAGATCTGCGTCTCCTCCACTGGAGTTAGCGAGGAGAACCGTGGAGGAGGCGGTGGCGGAGTGGAAGAGGGCATGGAGGCGGTGCACAGTGGAGTGATAGGCGACGGGGTAGATGGCACGGCGACAGTGCGTGGAGGAATGGCAGGCTGCGCGTGGGGGAGGGGCCTGTGTCGTCGGGTTTGGCATCACCCTAGCCAGATCTAGTGCCCCGCCCCCCCCCCCTCCTCTCGTCTGCGGAGGAGTGGCGGGTGGCGGGGGAGGAGCCTACGCGGTAGTGGCGAATCTATAGGCAACCGGATCTAGGTCCCGCTCCGGATTTCGCTAGGAGCGGCGGGATGTCGCCACGGCCGGTGACTGCGGGTGCGGCGACGACAAGGAGGGCAGCGTGGCTGGCAATGGTGGAGCTTTGAAGTGGTGGCGACGGGTGCAAGAGTGGGTGCTGTAGGCAAAAGTCTAGCTTGGAGGGTTTCCTGAGCCGACAACAACGACTTCTTCGGGCGTCGTGACTCTCCTTGGGGCGTTATCGAGCGGCCACACTTCCCCTCTCTAGCAGGACTCTCCGAGTGAAAACCTAGTCCGGTAGGACGGGCAACGATGGCATCTATGACGTCATGACCTCCCTGTAGCCATTGCCTAGAAGGTCTTTGTTCCTCGCCGTTGTCATCTTCTCTCGGTTTGGTCGTCAACGGTTATAGATTGCCCTCATCAGGTTGGAGTGAGGGACGAGTGGATCTCCTTCTCTCTCGCCCTCTCCCTCTCCTCAACCCCTCTACATGAGGATAATCCAGAGCTCATCGATGATCTTCTGTGTGGAGTCGATGTTCGGTGGGTTGTTTGCGACTACCTTATAGGTTTAGCGGTGATTGGCTTGGTGCTAGCTTGTTCTCCTAGGATGTGCAAAGAGCTACCAGCTTGCAGTGGCCGTGTGTTTGTTTTTTTTCGGCTACAATTAATTTTCTAAGATTGTAATCTTATAATATTTTCTTGCTTCATCAATATGAAACCTTGCAACTGTCTTGGTCATTTGAAGAAACAAATTTCAAACCAAAAAATTGTCCTAATGATTTTTTTTTCAAAATTTGTTGCTTTTATATCTCAGAAATGAGGTCGAGTTTGTACGAGATTTACATGGTTATGTAACTATCATCTTATCCATATGTGTGAGTTTTTGTTGAATTTAGATAACTTTTTGTTAGAGTTTACAATAGTTTTCACCTAAGTTAAGGTTCCATCGTATATTTACCCAAGATCACTAGCTGACCAGCCCCACCTATAATAATGAAATGAAAAGAAATGTAGCCAGTCACTAGCTGAACTTTTTGTTAAAATTGTCAATTAAACAATATAAGGGGAGTAGATGACTGTGTGTATCGACAGTGTATAAGGGGAGTATTACTTTCAAGTTTGAACTGGCTAGGCGTTGATAGCTAAATTTGGTACAGGTTTTGTTCGGTTATTAGTCAAACAATTAGCCGAATGAATTTTTTTGGAGTAAAGTTACCGTCGTTTCGAGTTTTTTTTCCTTTCCTTTCTTTGTTTTTCTTCCTTCCTTGGTATAGGCCGGTCTGGCTGAGTGCGTCGTGTATCAAAACTCTATTCTTCTAATTTTTTTTTAGAGAAGGGTATTTTCTACCCAGCCTCTATGTCCAACCAGATATATACGGCCATTGAGATAGAGAACTTAGCCCCGCAAACAACCCAATCTGAATTTTGCTCCATAGGAGATTTGAACTCAGGACCTTAGGGAGAAGGGTATTTTCTACCCAGCCTCTATGTCCAACCAGATATATACGGCCATTGAGATAGAGAACTTAGCCCCGCAAACAACCCAATCTGAATTTTGCTCCATAGGAGATTTGAACTCAGGACCTTAGGGTACTACTTAGGTCACTGTAACCACTAGGCTACATGCCCTTTTGTCTATTCTTCTAATATATTGACGTGTAATCATTTTGCGCGTTCGCGAAAAAAAATGAAATTTTTTGGCTTATTATCGATTTGGTTGTTAGCAGATAGTTGTTTTGGTGTTAATTAAATAGATGCGATGACACTATATATATAGTCCTAACTGCCCGAACTAATCGATATTGACTACTTATTGTTACTGAGGACATGCTATTATACTGTTACATGGGATGCATGTAAACGGTCTGACAACAGTCTCGCCCATTTCCATAACGATATATCTTTCGTATACAGAATCTATAACGTAGAGCTGGAAAAAAATTAGTACTGAAATTAAATATCAGAAAATTAGAAATAGAACTATACGGATGAAAATGTGTCGGTATCAACCCGGAACCGGTAACTGCTGTCGAAAACATGAAACTGCAAAATCATCACATATTTAGTTCACCATAACTATATAATATGACTGTAAATTAATTAAAACTTACACCACATAATAAATTACAACCTATATCTCTGTTTTAGCCGTGTAATTAATTACATTAGGAATTTGGTTAAAAAGTTGATTGACTTTTACACTTTGGGTGAAACAGATGCATGACCATATAGGTATTAGAAATACGGCAATTACAATATTGTAGAAATGGTAATTTCCGCAGAAACACAGTAATTATAGTATTGTAAAAATGGTAATTTCCATGCATAGAAATATGGTTGAATATGAAAACGGTTGGTAAAACAACAAATCATTTCCATTTTTTTACCATTTTTGTTTTTTTTGTCGGTTTACCATTTCTATTTCTGTATGGGTCGGTCGGTAGAAAAAGAAAATAAGCGCGTCCATAAATTCGGGATATTCTAGGTGCGGTCAACGGGTCAAGGTTGAAGAGAAAACAAGAGTATATGGGGTAGCCAAGAGCCAAAAGCTGTTGAGAGTGCATCTGTGCATGGAAAGGCATCGAAGAGAAGTATGGCCGATATATCGATCGATCAGGACGATGTACTGCGAACGGGACGACATGCACGCTATATATATATTTTTTTCTTCCACGTATTTATACTTATTTATGCTGCGTCATTACAACAATAATCGAAAATATTACGGGATTGGAGAAGATATCCCTAAACACAATCTATCTACACGTAGGGTACTTGGGTGTGTTTGTCGTGTTTTCGATCTTTTGCTGTCATTTTTTCCTTCTCTTCGTTTTTGTTCGTCTCGGTCTAGGCGGCTATACCCTTTTTTTTAAGAAAAAATAACAAAATTGTTATGTACATATTTACAAGAGAAAATTCACACAAAATTTAGTCGTTTTAAGAAAATTCAAACGGTCAACTTGTAGGCAATTAACAGTATGGGTATGGAGAGGATCAAAATAAAAACTCAGTATCATATAGAGGACGAGGAAAAATTCATAGACACGAAAGAGATTGAGTGAAAATTCATGAGTAAGTTAGAAATTTTATCTATTTACCATAATTTATAACTCTCTCCGGATTTATAATACTTAACTTTAACCACTATTTTCTATAATAATAATAATAATATATGAAAATATCAACTAATATATGATTTTATTGAAGTACTTTTTAGACTAATCTATCCATATGGTCTCCATTTCTAAAACAGGTATTTTAGAAATTATTTATAGTCAAAGATTTTAAAATGTGACATCAGGCCTATGCAAAACAACGAGTATTATCAACATACAGAGAGAGCTATGTTATGGAAGACAAATTACGTTTGTCAGACCAAAAATTACCGTTCATCGATTAATTGGAATTATGTAGAAATTTGACGTTCGCAAATATGTGTATACACTTTATAATATTATGCACTTATTTGAATATGTAAATGTGTATAACTATATAAATTGAATATATTCACGTTGTTTTTTAATTGAACAGGAATAACTTAACATTAACTTAAAATATATACTCCCTCCATACTCGTATTAGAAGTCGTTTAGAATAATGTTTAAGTCAAACCTTGGAAATATAAATCATGAATAACTCTCAAGTTGTTGAGTTAGAAAATGTAAAAATTATATGAATAGATTTGTCTTGAAAACTACTTTCGTAAAAGTATACATATATCACTTTTCAATAAATATTTTTATAGAAACAAGAAGTCAAAGTTATGTTTTGGTGACCGTGTTACTGTTCAAAACGACTTCCTTTACGAGTACGGAGGGAGTAGCTTCCAACGTCGCATTTATACACCAAACATTGACATGTTTGGTCATATTGAATAAGTAAAACTAAAGAGTATGTTAAAAATAAAACGCTAAACAAAGTCCTAAAAGACTACTTTAGGTCATCATCAAGTACAACATACGGGTGATTATTCGGACGATTAAACGGAGAATATGGTCGATTAATCACTAAATTAAAACAGAGTTTTGACGTTCATGAATAACAAATGTGGATCGTATCACATTAACCGAATGGATTTGCTGTCGTTACAGTATATATATACGGCTTTTTTCCACTACACTGGTAGGGAGTATACTTTAGCACATGCCATCTTTTTCTTTTTACTAATAATGTTTACAAATTGAAAGGTTTGAAAGTAAAATATAATATTTGGTGTCATTATGATGACCCTGCTCTTTTCCGATTCTGGACTTTGGATTTTTTTTTCTCTTTACAAGATGTCAAACTTTTAGTGTTGCATCCCTGTAAAATTTTTATAGGAACACTTTTCTAAACAACTACAATTAATTTATTTATTTATATTTGGGGCCTGTTCACTTTAGTGCCATTTTCAACCTTACCAAATTTTGGTAAAGTTGCCCAAAAAGTGGCTATATTTAGTTTGCTGCCAAATTTTGGTACCTATATAAGAAATCCTGTCAAAATTTTGACAAGTCACCAAAATTTTAGCATAGTTACCAAAATTTTGGTAAGGTTTTTTTTTTTCAACAAAGTGAACAGCCCTTGGATTCTCTCTTTGGGCTGGTTGGGGCGCCAGCCCCACCTCCATAATCCCCTGCCTCTTGTTAGCTACCAATGACTAAACATGATTAGCAAAAGCTAGTTGTATGGCAAGGATACAGAGCGCTAGCTGTCTCACTGCTTCATGCTAGTGCCCAGAGTTGCAAATAAGAAAAATAAGTACACCATATACCTCGATTTTTCACAAATTTTGTTATATGTCAAGTAATATGTTTTTTTCATTACATGCGTATAGGTCTCTTAGGAACAATATCGAGTTGACAAAAGCTAGTTGTTTTAGTCATCTGATATTTTTACCACCTCAATTCATATTCTGGATTCGCCACTGTTTATATCCATAAATAGCAATCACAAAAAATAGTTTGGCCATCAATCGTCGTACTATCTCAAACGGAGCGAAAAATGGAGGGCTTGGAAAAAACCGAAACATATTTCCATGGCCTGAGCAAGGTGCTTGCTGTCTGTGCCCGGACGGGAAGCTCTCCGGAATTCTAGCATCCAAACATTAGCCCTTGGCCCGCAAAGATATCACCGGGGCCCAGCATTGTGCAGACAGCAAAGATGCAAAAGCTGCTCCCTACAAGACGACACACTCTCTGCAAGACTGGACACACACACTCTCTCTCACTCTCTCTCCCTCTCCTTTGCAATAGTCTTTGTTCTCATCTCTCGTGTTGCTGCGACTACACTTTTGCAAATCTCTCCCGTGTCTGTAGACCCCTCTCGCGTAACCAGATTATTTCTTTATCAAACCCAAAATTCGAGTCTCACGTCAATAAATTTAATTTAGACCAAACCCAAAATGTCTTTGTGTGGAGTATGAAATGGAGAGAGTAACACTAAGTACATTATACCGATATACCATTGGTGTATATATTAGCAAAATCCAGCAAAATTGAGGTGACACTAGGGAAAAATTCCCCAAGAAAATATCCAAAAGACAAAGGTAATTAAGTCGAGCAAGCACTTATTGAGATCACATGTTTCTTCTGCAGTGACCAAATACTCAATTCTTATAAATTCAGTACTCCTATTTTCTATCCTAACTACAAATTCCAAGCTCATCAAAGCAGGGCTCAGAGTTTGGCTCTACAAGTCATTTTTCAGTTTCTCAAGTTACATAAGGGCATCCTTAATATTGAGCCACACAATAACCATAAGATAAAACCCACATATCTTTTGCTTAATTATAGTCAATGTTACAATGGTTTAAGTTCTTCTGTTTACCTTCTGGCTAGCTCTAAGCTTAAGGTTAGCCATAACAATATTCTCTTCTAAACACACATTTCTATACACAAAGTTGTACTAATATTTATTGCTTATAAACACACCTTTACATGCACATTGGAGATGCCCTAGCATTCACTAAATTATCTTCCCCAGGTAAGAGCAGGTACAATAAGTCTAGTCAGCAGGCTCCAAAATATTCCATGTCAGCATATTCTTAGGTGGAAGGAGAATAACTGAAGAGAGAGATTGAAGTGGGCGACTATTTAAGCGCCCGGCGATAGCACGTGTCGCACGATAAAAAATACATTTTGTGGGTCCCGCAACCACCCTCATCGGTATAGATGGCCAAAAGGCTCGAGGCCCGACGGCCCGGCCCATGGCACGATATTTTGGCTCGGCCCAAGCACGGCATGGCCCGACGGAGGTCGGGCCCGTGCCGGCCCGGGCCGACCACTGGGCCGTGCCTGGGCCCCTCCACCGGCACGTTGGCTCGGCACGGCCCGGCCGGGCCGGCCCGGCACGATGGGCCGGCACGATGGGCCGGCAGCTAGGCCCGATACACAGAAAAAATAGGGGAGTAAAAATAGACATATTATATGCCATGAACGAAAGAATAGGGATCTAAAATAGACTTTTTTTTATCTATACATATGTCAGCCGAAGAGGAGGGACAGACAATAGACTTATTTTAGCTATACATATGTCAGCCCAAAGAGGAGGGACGGAAAATAGACTTATTTTAGCTATACATATGAAATAGCCCAAAGAGGAGGAACAAAAATAGACTTAATTTAAAAAGGCCCGATGGGCCACCTATGCCTTCGGGCCGGCACGGCACGGCCCGACAGCTGGTGGGCCGTGCCTGGGCAGGAGGTGCAGCCCATGGGCCGGCACGGCCCGGCACGAAGTGCCTATCAGGCCGTGCCGGCCCGATGACTGCTGGGCCGTGCCCAGCCGTGCCTGGGCCGGGCCGTGCCGGGCAGGCCCTTTGGCTATCTATACTCATCGGATCTCATGTCTCATACTTGTGTTCCCACCTATGTTCTGCTTTTCGCCTTTTCCTTCTCCGCTCCGGCGTGCGCCGATGTGCTTGGTTCCTCGCCGGAATGTTGGCCAGCGTCACGTCACTACACCGGCAATGATTCACCCCAGGAGAGTTCGAGAGCTCCACCAGCTGATTTCGAGCTCGCGCTGATCGACCTCATGCACGCGAACCGACGCCCTTGCCGCTGGGTCGATCTTCTCTCGGCACGAATCAAGCTTCTCAAACCTCAAAATCGAGTTCTTGCTGCTGGGGTCGACGCCCTCCCTTCCGAACTGAAGCGAATCGATGTATGGATGGAGCTCCTTAATCTGTGACTCGACATAACCCACCGCTCGGTTTGCTCTGGTATGAATCAGCCATTGCCTAGCTGCAAAACCCATCTTTCTTCTTTGCTATTCTCTTGTTTTTTTTTCTTTTCTCTCATTTTTGCTTCCGTGTGAATGGAGATGGATAAAAGGATAAACCACCAGTCATTTTCTTTTAGTTGCTGTTTCTGGTGTTGATTTCAATCTAAAGCTGTGCGGGAGATGAGCTAGGAAAGCAAAAACCAAACTCTTTCTTTTTCTTCATCGGTAGACTACTCACGCTCATGACAGCACAAATGGCTACAAAGATGGAGTACATTCTTGATCGTACTGTGTATCCAAAATTAATTGTTTAATAGCTTCTATGTAGTTAGCACAATAGCCAATCTATTGTATTAGTTAGCTTTACACTAACTGTAAAATGACGTGGCATTTGGTACCGTCAGCGGTGGGCTATACTATTGACCTTGCTCTAACTAGTCTTGCTGTACATCTTCAAGCCATCCTCCAGCGGACAACCTTAAATTCAACACATTTGTCGATGCTTAAGGGGTAAAATCTAGAGATTAAAACAAGCAAAGTAGGACAATTGTACAGTGGTTTAGAGAAGTATACCTTTCCTGAATCGACAGAAAACTTTAAGGGTAAGGTAATTGTCTCCTCACATGGACCTTCAATGTCATGTACTTCCAACTACACAAGGAAGACAGTTCTGCTGATTATTTTTTACCAATTTTTTTCAAAAAAAAAAGTGGCATTTTTGTTATTGTGTAATACCATACCTTGAGAACCATCGACTTTTTCATCCCCTGCAGGTATCTCCAACCAAGAGAAAGGAGATAACCTTCGATCTGTTCCAGAATTTTAAAAATAGAAATCACAACACATTTGTATTATTCTTGACAAATATTGATTTATATTAAACTATTACTTGAGACCAGAATTCATTTCACCTCAGGCAAACTAGTCCCGCACTCGTTCTCAAAAAAGATCACGTCACCCCGTCTAACACCGAGATGCTCAAGAGCAGAATCATCAGCTATGCGTTTAACAATAAAGCCACCATTGATGTTATGTTTCACAGAGAGCTCCTCCCGGAGTGACACACCAGCTAGTTCCACACTTCTTAAATCCACGTCAAACACAGGGCGGGCAACACAGCTACAGATAAGATGGATTCAGTCAATTAGTAGACAATGAGCATACAGATATGATGGATTTAGTCTATAGTAGAAAATGAGCGCTACAGATAAGATGGACTTAGTCTATTAGGAGAAAATGAGCGCGCATGTTGGCGCACCAACCACTTTTGTAGGCCATGTTTATTATTTAGCAAATTGAATTTTAAAACTTAATTTTAAGTTGATTTTAGGTGTTTTTTCGTAGTTTTTTCAGCATTGGCTTTTAAAATCGCTAATAACATAGTAGATATAAAAGATTTATCCATAAACATTCAATTAATAAGAATATATCGTGATTCAGTGGGTTTACGTGCCACATAGAAATTGCTCGATTTTGATTCAATCTGTAGTATATTTTAATACTGATGGAAAAAGAGTATATACCTGAATTGCTTCCACATCTCAAAGAAGGTGCAAATAATTGAGATTGAAATGATAATTGCACCAGGGCCGGCTCTGTATACCATAGCAATGGTACTACCACAACTGTCAACTACAGGCCCTCCAACACCACCCTGCATTAATTAAAAAATAAATAAATACCACTAAGTAGAAGGTAAAACAAATAGCAAGTGTGAAGAAAAGGTAAATGTATCAGTACCTCAGGAACATCACAATCCACAAACATGTAATGGTTTCTCCACATGAAAGAACCATCCGACCACGTGATTGCTCCACGCCTCGCCACCAGGGACATATTTTCATCCCGAGACAAGGCAAGAATTTTCTGGCCATACTTTGGGGCGGACCCAAAAGCAGGGACCTGCAATGGTAGGTCAGACGTGATCTCCAAGATGGAGAGATTGTAGTGGCGATTCATGAATATCAACCGTCCCTGCACAATAGACTTATCTGCAAGATGAACCTGCAGCTGAAAGATAGAGAGAGAAGGCAATGCGAGAAAAAGAAAGGTTAATGGAAGATAGAGAGAGAAGGCAATGCGAGAAAAAGAAAGGTTAATGGTTACTCATCTTAAGCACAAGAGACGGAACTCATGCTAAGGATATACAAGAAAAGGCCATCAATTTGACAATGATAACGCTTGAGAATTGAAATCAGAGGGCACATTAAAATTCACACAAAGCAAATGCACAGCAGCCCAGCTACGGTTAGCAATCACTTGACCATACTATACTTAACAAAAATGGTAATGGAACTCGGATGATAGAAACATGGGGATTGCCTAATGGAAATCGGTGTTCTACACTTGCACCAAGAAATTAAAGAAATTGGCAGGCATGAAAAGTCATTTTTAGCAATTGGGTTAGCCCCTACTTAATAAGAACAGTTATGGAACTCGGATGATGGTAACATGGGGATTAGCTAAGACATGCACCTCGGGTTGGGGCTCATGCGGCTTCTTTTTGAAGTAAGTGGAGAGCGTGACGATCATAGCACGCTTGGTGGCTCCATCCCAACTGACGACGAATCCGGTGCGCGGAGAGATCAATTTTCCCTCTGAAAAACATTCAGTTGATTAGCAGGTAGCTACATAGCTAGGAGCCGATAAATACATATTTTGTATTGGGCTACTAAATACACTAAACAACACATATTTCCATTTGTTGTTGGACTACACATGTCTATCTCGGTAGCTTTCTTTTATATCACCGGCTTTTCCCTTAACATCTGCAGCTAGTTTAGCACAAAATCCACGGTAATTCCCATGTGGAGATGCAGCATGATTTTCTCATGTAATGCTAGATAGGGAATGCGTAAAACAACGCAATTAACCACACGTGACATGCTAGCAGCCTAGCACATGGCTCACTTAGTAGCTAAGTTAGCAGTAAATACAGTAGATTCAGGCAGTAAAATCTGAATATGCCTCCAAACTTGTACTAAGATGTTGTCCATAGGTTACCATATTTTTGGGACGGATGGAGTAAATTACCAGAAGGTGGGGATGAAACGCGGACAATTGAGCGAGACATGCCCAACACCATGTTCTTGTCGGAGGGGGTAGGCAAGGCGGCCGCGGTGGAGGGATCATCTTTCTTATCGCGCCAGAGAGTTAGCTTCTGAAGTCGATCAACTGAAGAAGAAGCAGAAATGGGGAGAAATTAACATGGTTAATAATAGGTATACAAGAAATTAAAACAAGAAGAAGAAATTAACAGTGGTGGGGAGAGGATCGATGACGACGGATCGAGAGCTAAAAACCTTCGAGCCGGACGATGCGGGAGCTTTTTCTGACGCGGGGTGTCGTCGGCGGGTGGATCGGCGGGAGTGGCCGGGACGCCAAGGTGCCATGCCCCTCCCTGTGCATCACACCCGTCGTCGCCGTCGTCGAAGTCGTCGTCGTCGCCGCCGGCGACTCCTCCTCGATCCTTCTCTTCTTCTTGCTCGAAGACACTCCCGCCGACTCCTCCAACACCTTCGCTCTGGAGCGAGTCAGCCTCCCGGACGACGATCTGGGACTGTCGTCGTGCTCGGCGAGATCGGAATCCGGCTTCGATTTGGACCGAGTCGACCTCGCCGCCGGCGACGATTTGGGACCGCCGCTCGAGGCCGCCACCGATTTCCTCCGTTTGGGGGACATGGCCGCCTTCCCGCCACACCAATCGCCGCCGCTAGGGTTTTCTTTAGATCCTCATACCGCTCGAGTCGGATTCCTTTTCTTTTCTTTTGCCTGTTACTGTAGGAGTATTTATTAGTGGAATAAGTTCACTTTAGGTCCCTCAGTTTGTCACCAAGTTCGAAATTCATCCCTGCACCGCAAAACCAGATACAACGCACCCCTCAGCTTACAAAACCAATGAAAAGGAGGTCCCTCGTCAGTATTGTCTTCCGGTTTTGGTTCTTTGTCTTACGTGGTATTGATGTGGCGCTTATGTGACAATTGGATCGAAAAAATAATAAAACTACTAGGGCCCACAAATCGTTGTCAACCACCGTCGCACCCGCCACAGCTACCACGCTCGTCGGCGACCGCTCGATCTCCTCTTCCGGCCACCTCTGCCGTTGCTGCTCCCTCCTCCTCCCGCCATCGCTTCGCCCACGGTCCGCCGGCATGCTCCGGCTGTTGCGCGCTCCGCTCTGCCGGCCTGCTCCCTCTGCCCCCGCCTCCATGCCCAGCTCTGCCCACTTTGAGGGATATAATAGGTTGGAATGATCCTATATATTGTTTGGATGGAGGGATGAAGGTGGGATGCCTGGATCAATATATTCGCATATGCGCATGGTAAGTTGATCAATATATTCTTCCACAATATAGTAGCTCTCTTTCTATCATTTTTGTTGCATGAATCCTAAAATAATATATGCTTAATCACTAAAACACATATTGTTATTTTTATTGTTTTATTTTCATTATCAGATATCGCCGTAGCGTTAGCACGGGCGTATTACTGGTTGCAATTAGTTGGGGAGGTTACCCCCTAGTATACATATTGCAAAATAATACTCCATCCATTCCATAATATAAGGCACAACCACTTTTTTTTAGATGTTCCATAATGGGAGAATAGCCACTATGGTCCCTGAAGTTTCGCTCTGAGATCATTTTAGTCCTTGACCTTTCAAATTGTCCAAGCAAGCCTTAAACTTTATCATGTGGACATATACAGTCCTTGGCCCATCGAAAATTGCCACGTGGGTATGCCATGTCATCTTCCAATGCAAATATATGATGAAATACCCAATTTGCCCTTACACATATCGTCATAGGGAAATAAGAGAGAAAGAAAAGGAGAATAATAATAATAATAAAGAAGTAGGTGATCCTGCATATTAAATATCCGTTAGAGTTTTAACATTGAAATGCAACTACTCACATGAAATTTATTTGGCATGATAATTATATATTTAGTGGTTGTTGCTAATTTAACTTTGTATTAGCATAATCCGGTGAAAAAAAGTTTGCCATATATCCAGTCGCATTGAATAAAGTTTGTAAATTCTTTTCATTATTTTTGTATGGTACATGGAAGGGTAAATTGGACATTTCACCATATATTTTGCATGAGAGCATAACATGGCATGCTCATGTGGCAATTTAAGTGGGCCCAAGGACTATATTAGCCCACATGACAAATTATAAGGACTCGTTTGGACAATATAAAAGGTTAGGGACCAAATTGATCCTAGAGCAAAACTTCAAGGATCATGTTGGCTATTCTCCCTTCCATAATATAAGGCATGCATGCATGCATGCCATTAACTATGACATATTCTCCATTAATTACTACTTTTTTAAATCCTTCACTCTCACGTTCTCTAACTCTATTGGATGTATGCATTATATTTATTAGGATGATCCAAACTACAAGATGATAATTATTATTTCTTGGTTTTTGGATGAAGGATGGTTGTGCCTTATATTTTGGAATGGAGGAAGTACTTAGTCATGAACACCACACTATTTGCAAATATAAAGTGAATTGCGTCTGGTAACAAACAATCAAGCTCCATAAGTTATATAGAAAATATGAGTCAATTGTACCCACGGTACAACAACTTAGTAGGTGGGTGCAATATAATGCAAAAACTTGAGAATTAAATATCTGAGTGCAACAACTTGATAAGTGTGTGCGTTCTACTACGAGAACTTGACAATTTAATATTTTGGTGCATCAACTTGGCTAAGCATATGCTATGTGAGTTTTTTCATGATGTCAAAATGCCATTGCATAAGAATCCTACGGATATTACCTTAAATATTGAATTTATTCTTTAAGAATTATGCTGCATATACAATTTTTTTTCATGGGCTTCTTCATCAGACTAATCACTTGCTTATACACTCAATAAGCGCATTAGTCCCTTAATCGTTTGTCATCAATTAACCAAAACCCACTAGGAGCATAGATGATCTTTCACAAACCACATATAATAATAGCAAAGATGTATTAAGTCTTTTTTCCTATTACTAAGCTAAGCATGTATTAAGTCTTTGATTCATGTACCAACGTCTTGATTCCAATTATTTATTTATTCCGTTCGAATTTCAATCATGATGTTTGATCCTTCGTTCACTGCCACATAAATGATTTTTTTAAGGCCCATATACATTTCAGGCTGACCGTAACTGGTGGCGCCTGCAAAAATCGATCTCTATTTTCGCAATATGGCTTCTTAAAAGTCCCGCATGCAACTCTATTTCGCAAGTGGACCTCTTAAAGAGCCATATGCAAAAATAAGCCTATTTTTCTAGGCGGGTCTCTTAAACAACCACATGAGAAAATGTATTTTCGGAAGCCCGGCCTCTTAAAGGTCTACCTAGAAGTCGGACTTACCTCCTCCTTTTCCTTCCGACACTTCATTTTTTTTAGGGTAATTTGGAACCATGCCATTATAATTTTGCAAAGTTTGAGATATGACATCGGTATCTCAATGACATGTAGGACCCACATGAGTTAATGACACGTGGGTTAGGATGGCATATCTCAAATTTTGCAAAATAATAATGGCATGGTTCCAATTTTCCCTTTTTTTAAGTCATCATCCTTATCTCCTCTCCTCATATTATTGCAAACTCCTCTCTCTCTCTCTCTCTTCTCATTGAAAGGCGCCAATTGGATAGATTTGATATGATAGTATCTAAATCAATTTCAAGTGCTTTGTAAATTCAGTACTCTGGTGAACATTCTTCTAAATCTGTTGTTGACTACGCCTTTCTTCTTTTATATTATTTTTACTCCCCATTTTTATATTATAAGTCGTTTTGGGTTGGTCCTATAGTCAATTTTTTTAAGTTTGACAAAATTTATAGAAAAGATATCAACATTTTCAACATAATACAAATACACTATAAAAACATATTCAATGATGAATTTAATAAAACTAATTTGGTGTTGTAGATGTTATTTCTTTCTATAAATTTGATCAAACTTTAATAAGTTTGACATAGATCAGACCCAAAATGTCTTTTAGTATAAGACGGAGGGATGACACGAAGTAAATTATACTGATAAATCATCGAGCAAACACCTATTGAGATCACCCGTTTCTTCTGCAGTGAGCAAACCTCAACTCTTATAATTTCTCAGTACTTAATTGACAAAATTCCCTATCTAGCATCAGAAAAAATTGCTCTTCCCTCTATAGCACCCAAACTTCAAAAGATCCCTATCTATGCACCCTCAAAATTTTTGTTCCCTATCTAGCACTTCCGTTAGTTTTGATGGTGACGGTGTTAACCAGCATGAGAAAAGACGGTTTTGCCCTTCTATATTTTATACTTTTTTCCCATTCTCTGTTCACTTTTTTTTTCTTCTTTGTTTTTTCATTTAGTGTCCAGCCGTGTTCAAGTCTGTGCATACTTCTTTTTGGCCAATATAATATGAGAAAATTAGATCAACAACGTACTTCTTTTTTAGAGAAATTTGACAGTATGTTTGCAACAACAGCATGTACGCAACACAATAATGAACCAAATAAATTTTAGAGAGCATCCAAATTCACATCCATAGATAACCATAACCATCCAGATCACATTAAAGTTTTCTAAACCAAATTTGCATATGTAGTCCTAGATAGAGAATTTTCTCTATTTAATTCCATCCTACCTACATATTCCACTACATATTCCAAGCTCATCAAACCAGGGCTGAGATTATCATGGACCTCAGATTATCCCCATTATCCTCCACAGCACAGTCCTGTACAGCTTCTCTGAAATCTTACAAATAACTGTAGAAATATATTGGTAATATGCATATATAATCCAAAATATCCAACAATGACCTACAATTTACCTGAATCAGTCACTGTTCATCAAAGCAGCCGAACTGAACATCAATACACATAATGTGAATGTCATTACTAGTATTCATGCTGAAACATCAGCAAAACATTGCAAAGCAGGTTTGTGGAACAATCAGAGGGGCAAGTTACCAAGTTACAGGCTGTGTTCCAAATCTCTCACGCGCTCGCAGAACAAAGCAAGTCATTAACATATGATTAATTAAGTATTAGCTTAAAAATGAATTAATATGATTTGTTTGAAACACTTTCCTATAAGATGTTTTTTACAAAAAATGCAACATTTAACAGTTCGAAAAACGTGTGAAAAACAATGGAGTAGATGGCATGAGATATGCTACTAGGCTGCTAGGCAACATCGTGTAGATGGCATGAGATACAGGCAACAATGTGGGGACATGAATATCAAACTTCGTTCAAAAGGGACCAATCGGGCTGAATATGACAGTTGTTTAAATTAATATTAGCATAGTTCAGCCAGCCAAAATTAGGGTTAAACGCCCCGACAAAAGATCGTGTCAAAGAACATTCAAGTTACTAACATTCACAAAATTATCATCTCTAGGTAACTTCAGTCTTGCTGTACATCTTCAAGCCATCCTCCATCGGGCTACCTAAAATTCAACACATTTGTCAATGCTTAAGGGGTAAAATATATAGGGATTAAAACAAACAAACATGGACAATTGTACAATAGTTTAGAGAAGTTTACCTTTCCTGAATCGACAGAAAACTCTAAGGGCAAGGTAATTGTCTCCTTACATGGACCTTCAATGTCATGTACTAGCAACTACACAAGAAAGGCAGTTCTGTTAATTATTTTTTCCCATTGTTTCAAAAAGAGAAAAAAACAAGTGCCATTTTTGTTATTGTGTAATATCAGACCTTGAACCATCGACTTCATCCCCTG